TTCACCTCTTCTTAAGTCGCTGACCTGTTTCCCTCCCTCTCTTCCCATGGAATTTTAAGATTGTAGATACTTTAATCTAATCGTCATAAACAGCACTCACTCTGCATAGCTCGCCTTGACTACTTCCTTCGCCACTTCCTAGGTCACAGACCTGTTTCCTTCCCTTCCAATAGCATTTTAGGATTTCAGATACCTTAATCTAATCGTCATAAACAGTTCCCACACTCCGGACAGCTCGCCTTTACTACTTCCTTCACCACTTCCTACGTCGCGGACCTGTTTCCTTCCTTCCCATAGCATTTTAGGAATGTAGATACCTTAATCTAATCGTCATAAACAATTTCCACACTCCGGGCAGCTCGCCTTTACTACTTCCTTCACCACTTCCTACGTCACGGACCCGTTTCCATCCCTTCGAATAGCATTTTAGGATTGTAGATACCTTAATCTAATCGTCATAAAGAGTTCCCAATGTCCGGACTGCTCGCCTTTACTACTTCCTTCACCACTTCCTACGTCGCGGACCTGTTTCCTTCCCTTCCAATAGCATTTTAGGATTTCAGATACCTTAATCTAATCGTCATAAACAGTTCCCACACTCCGGACAGCTCGCCTTTACTACTTCCTTCACCACTTCCTACGTCGCGGACCCGTTTTCCTCCATTCCAATAGAACTTTAGGAATGCAGATACCTAAATCTAATCGTCATAAACAGTTCCCACAGTCCGGCCTGCTTGCCTTTGCTACTTCCTTCACCACTTCCTACGTCGCGGACCTGTTTCCTTCCTTCCCATAGCACTTTAGGATTGCAGATACCTTAATCTAATCGTCATAAACAGTTCCCACACTCCGGACAGCTCGCCAGTCAGCTTGTCTACTTCCTTCACCACTTCCTTCGTCGCGGACCCGTTTTCCTCCTTCCCATAGAACTTTAGGAACGCAGATACCTAAATCTAATCGTCATAAACAGTTTCCACACCCCGGACAGCTCGCCTTGACTACTTCCTTCACCACTTCCTACATCGCGGACCTGTTTTCCTCCCTTCCCATAGCATTTTAGGATAGTAGATACCTTAATCTAATCGTCATCAACAGTTTCCACAGTCCAGACAGGTCGCCTTGTCAACTTCCTTCACCACTTCCTACGTCGCGGACCTGTTTTCCTCCCTTCCCATGGCATTTTAGGATTGCAGATACCTTAATCTAATCGTCATAAACAGTTCCCACACTCCGGACAGCTCGCCTTGACTACTTCCTTCACCACCTCCTACGTCGCGGACCCGTTTTCCTCCCTTCCTATAGAATTTTAGGAATGCAGATACCTAAATCTAATCGTCATAGACATTTTCCACACTCCAGACTGCTCACCTTTACTACTTCCTTTACCACTTCCTACCTCACGGATCTCAAGCTAGTGTCGTCATTTGATTATATTTATAATCCATACCGTTTCTGTTCTAGTATCCGTGGAATAATGCTATCAGCTATTTCTTTATCTACTGCATTCAAAAGTCAACAGCTGATCATATGTCTTTGTTTATGTGTCAAATACTGCTTCCATAAGGATTACATTGAAACTTTGAGACCCAGTGGGGCGGATTCCTGAGAGACTTTTTTAACGCCATATAGATGTTGGCACTCACCGATATGGTCTTTATCACCATGCAAAATTTGAAAACGATTGATTCAGCCGTCTAGGCGGAGTTTGCGTATTACGAAATGCATAAGAGTCGACGTATAAGAGCTTCGCTCAATTATAACTAAGAGGATAATTGAAGGATTGTTTGGAAAGATTTAGATTATTCCAGACAATTCACGACCATACCGCTTGTCCCTGACCATCACGTTTATGATTTCTATCATAAAAATTTCAAAAATTAAAATATCGTCATATTTCAATGTTTTATACACAAAAGAAGCACACCTCTATACAAACATAACGATTTTTCGGGTCTCAGGTAAGTTTTTTCGGAGTTATACAAACTTAAAAAGATTTTATTGGCTTTTTTCAATTTTTTGAGTTTTTTTATTTTTTTCTAGAAAGACCAAATATACCAAAAGCTCAGTGACCTTTTTATTGTATAATGGTCATAAAAGTAAATTAGTTTATAGCAAAACATAGTTATAAAAATAATATTAACTATTTTTAATATTCATTTAAACGTCCGTTATGGTCGTGACAGGATTTTGTGTTTTTCCACTAAAAATGCTCTTTTAAAAAGAAACTACCAAAGATATTGCGTTACCATGGACATTTTATGAAACTTCAAATGTTAATGAAATAAAAATAATAATAAAAGTTTTGAAAAAAGGGGAAAAAAATTTGCAAAGTGCTTTTCCTGAAAACGTACGTTTTTAAATTTTCACTCGTGTACATCAAAACAAACTATTCAAAATCAAATTTTGTCTGCCCCAACGTAAAGATTTTATCAATTATTTAAAACTAGCTGGCCCGACAGACGTCGTCCTGTCCTAATGTGGATTTATGTCAAATGCTCGTTCATTTCAAGATGAACTCGTTCGCATGACTTAATCACGTCCTGGGGCCCATTTCATAATAAAGTACAAACTAATATTATTAGTAAATCAGCTGATCGCCCAATGCAAATCTAATGGAAATTACAAGTTACAAGTTGTAACTTGTAACTTGTAGTTTATTATGAAACGGGCCCCTGGTTGAAGTTCGTTCGCTACGCTCACTCACCTTTAGGTTGGAGCTCGTTCGCTGCGCTCACTTGCCTTCAGGTTAGCTCGTTCGCTACGCTAACTCGCCTCCGGGTTGAAGTTCGTTCGCTACGCTCACTCACATTTTGGTTGCAAAATAGCTGTTGTCATAAATTTGAAAAAATAATAGTGCTGCACCCTGTTGGTAAAACTAATTAACTTTTTAACACGTAGAGTGCGGCCGTTCCCGATCGGGTACGGCGCTTGGCCCCCGTACGGTGCGTCCGTACCCCATCGGGAACGCTCGGTAATGCTTTTTGTATATCTTCGGTTTTGCTCTAGCGTCGGCCGAAAGCGAACCTATACGACGTTAGCGTGTAGTATGTGACTTTCATTTTGTTGTGGTGTAGGTTGGTAGTAAATTTCCCCGTAAAATCCCCGTCTGGCAATCTCAAAAGTCTTCTTTTTGTCCCGTAATTTTCCCTCCATTTGGCAATACGATTCCAATGGGACCGGCTACGTTCCAAGCAGTGCTGCTATCTGTGAGTGTTTAGCGAACTACATCGACTCTCGTTGTAAAGCAGGACATCCCCTCACGTTATTTGCTATTCGTCAGACCAAAATTGAAAAGGCCAATCACACGCGGCAATCGGGTTTACTCGACGCTGAGGGCTGCGCCGCACTGGGGATACGCCCGCTATTTGACGTGCCGCAGCGAACGTGTTAATGCTATTGGACATCACAGAATCAATAAATTGTTTAGTTGAACCAGCTGTTAAGATTCTTTAATTCCATTTAAATATGATTACTCATAAGGTTAACATGGGAAACTCCAGAACCACTGGGGCGGAGCCCTTTTGACGGATCTGCATCAATCTTCACACAAACCATCATTGAATAATGCTTAATAATGCCTGAAAGTTTCATTACTATCTGTCGAGCGGTTTCGGAGTCCATAAAGGACAAACAAACAAACATACAAACAAACATTCGTTGGATTTTATATATATATATAGATTAATGCAATATTGAATTTTGATACGAATTACTTATAAGACGTCGATGTCGATCGTCGGACGTTCAGTTTGGTTTCGGTGTAAATTTACAGTATGTGCTGTAGGCCAATTTAGGTTTTTAATACTTTTAATACTTCCTTGTTAAATGGCTACCATACAAAATAAGTATTTTAAGCCAAGTATGAATGGAGATGCGTGTAGGATGAGTGGCGTGATCTTGTAGTCTTGTTAGTGACTAAGGCCGACATTCCTTTTAGTTAGCCTACAGCTGCTAATTAATAGCCCCATACAGCTAATGGCAACTAAGGGACCTGACCTACAGTTTATAGTGGAACCCGAACCACATTTTTGCCTTGGTATATATGAATTTGTCTAATTATCAGGATAGTACTGTGGATAGTCGTTCGTAGTTTCACTCGTGCGGACGTTAGCACGGCCGCCTTTAACTCCAGGCCGCGGCCTTCGAACTGGCAACGTCACAAGTGGTGCTATAACAGCTGTTTTATTTGGAAACAGCTAATGGTATTTGTGTATTTACGAAAGATTGTTTACTGGACTATGACAATTTGACTCCGCTTAAAAATGTACGGATATAGATTTTAATTCATATTGTTTCGGTTTTCAATTCTGTATGTTTTATTTTCAATAATTTAATAAAATTATGTTCATAAATTTAAATTTAGATCAATAAAGTGCGAATTAATGAGCTGATGTCACCTGTCTGCCATGTTATCTTATGGGATGTCTCGACGTCTGTCACTGAACAACACCACTTGTAACGTTGCCAATTCTACCAGGCCGCGGCTAAAGGCGGCCGTGACGTTAGTCTACACCGGGAGTATCGCATCCACAGTCCCAGTGCATGCCTATTAGGCCTAAATATTCACAATTCGTGACCTCCTAGTAGCTGGACAGGACGACGCCACCCGTCCTAATATTTTAGAAAAAATCTGTACTTTTTTATTTGGTGCAGATAAACTTAATTTTAAGTTACAATAATTAACTAAGTATGATATTACGGTAAAATATTACTTCAACATACCATAGATTAAATATACTTATGATGGTTAGTATGAACTTATTTAATCGCTACCGACCATAGATGTAGTGTAAATAATAACATAACCATAGACTAACCAACAGGAGGGTACTTAAACTACGTTCAAAGGCCTGGTTCTCTTTTTAGTCACGTGTAAAATGTAAAATGAGAAATTATCATTATTATAGTCATACGTGCTTTAATGCTAGGCTATTTTATATTCCTCTTCATTACTCTTTGTATTTCCGTTGAAACCCTTAAACTGTTTTCTTAATTAGTCAAGTTTCGCCCTGAAACTGAAATTCATCGCCATATTGTGATTAATGTTTGTCATTTTAATAGTTTTTAGACATTTCCTGTGATTTTAGAATGGGAATAATGAACGATTCAACTTTATATTAACAAACAATTTCTACGCTGAAAAAGGTTCCATGCTACAGCTATAAGGACGTCACAGTAAGTTCTAATTTACAAACATAGATCGTAATGGCAGTGAGTTAGTTATCTTCCTTCAGGTCAAAATTCAAAATATTCGGTAGGCCTTAAAAGTAGACAGCCAAGCTGATGATAGTGACAGTGACCCTCCGATTCCGACCCTCGTCTCCGGAAAATTTGAAAAGCCGTAACTTAGTTTACGTCCTGGTCCTACACTCTTTTAAATGATGCTTTCAGGAAATAAATCATTCTCATTTTTAACTTATTTCTAAACTCCGGTGAAGCATAAGTTATCGAACTCATGTCATACATATTAGTTCTAAAAAAAATACTGTACTTGTTTACTGAAATATATATATTTGGAACAATCTTAAAACCGTTCATAGAACTAGGCCTCACCCAATATAATCCTGTACTAAGTTATTGCCTAGGCCTACTAATATAAAATTTCTTAAAGCTTTCTTTAAGATAGCGATTTCTCAATTTGATTTTAAAGAGGCGTAGGCAATGGAAAAACTATTAATTCGGCTGCACTTTACTTAGTTTACGTCCAACACTCATTTGAATGAAAAATATCGATTTAACTTATAGGCTAGATGATTCGATATATCGATAATTTCTTTGGTTAAACTTAGTTAGGTTAGGTTTTAACCTAACTAACCAAACTTGATATCTTGAATGAAATAATGGAGATATCGATCGATATATTCATTCGAATGAGTGTAGGACGTATAAACTAAAGTGCAGCCATTAAGTTAATTCCTCTGCATTAAAAAGGACTGCTGTAAGCTTAGGCCTCTGTTATGCAGAGCCGTCTTTATAGAATGCGAGGCCTGGGACAATACATGCCTAAATAATTTCGACGATAGTGAAATAGTGAGCGAGGCCTTGTTTAACTACGCTTACTGGGGGGTATGGAGTAACGGTCCTCCAGCGGAGAGGGGGGTCTGGGGGTCCTCCCCCGGTCGTCGTATTAAGCACTTTGACAAAAAAAAAAAAGAATCTTTTACTCTCTGAAAATGGGCGTGAATATTATTGCTAATTGCACAGATTATTGTTCCAATTCCAAAGTGGATATCATAAATATTGAACACAAAATTCTTTACAATCATTAATTAAAAAATGAACACTTCTCCACTGTGGATTGTCGTCCCGTCACTTTGTAAATAGTAAATGCTCATAGGCTATCTTGTTTATTTACTTTTTGTCAATTTAGGTTTATTGTGTTTTCGGCAGTTGGTCTGTGGAAGGGATTTTAAAGGTAAAAAATATTACGTATAATTGCGTTACGTCAATGAGTTTTTAATAAATTAAAAGAGGTAGTATCGTTATAAATTGTGGAATTGATTCACAGTATTACTATAATGACAATCATTGTCATAGGCTTATGTTTATTGCGACTAGTTACAGTCGGTTTTCTCTGATTATCCATCCAGTAAATTTTACATCTGTAGGCAGGCGATAACGTGACATGATCTCCCTTACCATCCCCCACCAAATTACAGGTTCGTCGGAGGTGCCATGGGGCTGTGCCTGCGGGGTGTTGGCCCGCTGCCAGGCGTCAGTAGAGTAAGCATAAGTACGACTCACACTCACCGGGGTGGCTCGGTGGCTGCCACGAGCCTCGGGTTCCTTCATCCCGCCCCCGACGCTGTCAAACGATGTTTTGTATTCTTTTGTGTTTTAAATGTCGTTCGTATGTTTTTATTAAGTCAATACAATAATTGAAATAGTTCATAATAAATCAGACATATTTCAGACACATTTGTATCTGCCTGTCCTTTATTTTATTATTTTCATTCAAAATCTTTCACTTATTATTAGCGTTAGTAAGGATAAGTACGCTGCGCGAGGCCTAGGGACCCTAAGGACGGCGCTGCTGTTATGATGCTAAGTTAAAGGAATTTATTCTTACAAAGGTACTTAATAAGTAGGCTACATTAAGTTGATTGGTGTAGCACAAGCCTATTGTACGTCTTGTACATGCTGTAAATAAAGATAATTTGAATTTGAATTATCGAGTGTCAGGTGCCATATATGTTTGACAGTAGAGTGTAGGCTAGGGCATCGACAGACATTAGGCGCTAACCCTTACAAAAAAACATTTAACAGGCCTAAGCTTAAGTTAAGTTTGCATTTAAACAACTTACCTATGGTAAGTTATATGTTTACGTTAGGCCTAACTTAGGATTAAGTAAGTTACTCGGCACCCCCATTTGTTGCTTGCTATGCTTTATTTAAGGTGATGTCTGTGATTGATATAAATACGGCACCGACTTTAATGGATTAACTTATTCAAAGTAAATCTATAAAAGCAATGTTGAAACGATAAGAGGACCTGCTTCAAAAGAGGAATGCTTCAGCTGTATCTTTCGAATCTTATAAAATTAACTCAAATAAGTTAATGTGTGTTTAGGCCTAATAGATCTCTAAGCTGTTTAACATTTAGAACATCATATTTTACATAGCTCTATCCCATACCGTACCTCATACTAAAATAAAATAATAATAAAAACCTTGTAAAAATAATAAAGTTTTGTAAAAGTTAGAAGTCTATTTATTTTACTATTTTAGCTTAAACTAAACTTACCTAACTAAATAATTTTATTACTATGAAGTAGTCCAGGAGCTGAGGGGGGTTGAGCATGCATGAAAGTAGTACGCAATGTTATTGCTGATTATTGTAATATGGACTGTGGTGATCAAAATTACGTATGTCGCCTATTTCAAAAGTGGTCGATAAGGTGGGGGGGAGGGGGCAAACATGGCGGTTTGCGCTATGCGTTAAAACGCTGATAGTTCGAAAACGGTAAAAGATAGAACATCGGTTAAAACGTCGTTGTAATCCTAAAAATGTGGACAACAATAATGGTCATTGGGTCCGAGGTCGTATCTCTATAAATAAACAAGTTATTGTATAAAATATGTAAAAATGGACTTTTCGTGTAGATTTTTTACCGAAAGTAGAATTAATTTGTGAGTGTCGCAAAGACGTAATATCAAATATCTTTGCTGATAGTTGTAATATGGACTGTGGTGATACAAAATACGCATGTCGCCTACTTTTCAGGTGGTCGAGAACTTGGGGGGAGGGGGGCAAAGATGGCGGAACGCGCTATACATCGAAATGACTGTAGCTCGAGAACGGTACGAGATAGGACATCGGTTAAAACGTAGTTTTAATCCAAAAAATATTACCAATAGAAAAGGTCATTGGGTAAAAAGTCGTAGGGGCCTATCTTAACTAATAAAAAAGTTATAACAATAATAAGTTTAACAAAATCTACATCGTACAGCTATTTTTTTCAAAAATCGTATGGATTGTTGATAAATAATAGTGTAATTACTTAATTACTCGGCTAAATATTAACTAGATGCATTTTCTTATAAGAAAAAATATATTATTACGAATACATATGGTTTAAAATGTAAAACACGGCCTCCAAACGCCTTGGGGTTCGTCCGTTAGGTTGCGTTATAATTGCTGCTGTTTTTAAAATAATGATTGCTTGTATTTTGTATTTCATTATACACTGAGTATATAAATGAAATAATGATAAATAAATAATCAAACAAATAAGATAATAATTAAGTATGAAATATAATATATAGTAGTTTAATTCCATTGTAAATATAAACACCATAAACTTTAAATTTCTTGACCGCTCTCATGCATTAATTATATATAGATGTATATACATTTGTATCAAAGAAAATATTAACAATTTTTAATTTGTATTACAGGTGCTAAGAGAAATTAAAAAGGTACCTATTTAAATTCAAAAAATAATATGAACAACCAGTGTAATTGTTATGGATAGAATGAAGAGATTTGCCGTATTTTTTATTATAAGGTATTTACTTTTGTAGTAATGTTTTTTATTTCATATAAGTGTATTAAATAAGAATCTGTTACATAATCATATTGTAATAACCTACAACATTATAATAATTAAAATTGGATTTGTAGTGTTAGTCTGTATTATACATTTGATTGCGGCGAAACCCCAAGTATTATATGTAGTTTGGAGGCCGTGTTTTACATTTTAAACCAAATGTATTCGTAATAATATATTTTTTTCTTATAAGAAAATGCATCTAGTTAATATTTAGCCGAGTAATTAAGTAATTACACTATTATTTATCAACAATCCATACGATTTTTGAAAAAAATAGCTGTACGATGTAGATTTTGTTAAACTTATTATTGTTATAACTTTTTTATTAGTTAAGATACGACTTTTTACCCAATGTCCTTTTCTATTGGTAATAGTTTTTGGATTAAAACTACGTTTTAACCGATGTCCTATCTCGTACCGTTCTCGAGCTACAGTCATTTCGATGTATAGCGCGTTCCGCCATCTTTGCCCCCCTCCCCCCAAGTTCTCGACCACCTGAAAAGTAGGCGACATGCGTATTTTGTATCACCACAGTCCATATTACAACTATCAGCAAAGATATTTGATATTACTTCTTTGCGACACTCACAAATTAATTCTACTTTCGGTAAAAAAACTACACGAAAAGTCCATTTTTACATATTTTATACAATAACTTGTTTATTTATAGAGATACGACCTCGGACCCAATAACCATTATTGTTGTCCACATTTTTAGGATTACAACGACGTTTTAACCGATGTTCTATCTTTTACCGTTTTCGAACTATCAGCGTTTTAACGCATAGCGCAAACCGCCATGTTTGCCCCCTCCCCCCCACCTTATCGACCACTTTTGAAATAGGCGACATACGTAATTTTGATCACCACAGTCCATATTACAATAATCAGCAATAACATTGCGTACTACTTTCATGCATGCTCAACCCCCCTCAGCTCCTGGACTAAAGAATCAATGCTTTATTCCAGTCAGTGGCGGTTCTAGGACCTTGTCAAGGGGGGGCTACCGGTGCTTCACACCCCCCAATAAAGCAGGGGGTGCGAGGGCCATCCCCTGGGAAAATTTGGAGTTTTAAGTCATTTGGTGACTTTTCGAAGCCCTTTTTAACACCTAAAACCGTGCACAATTGTCCATAAACTCCCATTTCATCTGTTGTTTGTCATGAGCAAATAGACATTTAAAAAATTAAACTATGACGATTGCATCCATGAATTTCAAAACACACTGTACAGTGTGGCCGAAAAGTCCCTTTACACAGTTTGTTATTACGTTTTACACTGTTATAAACGGAACGACGGCCAATACTGACACGTGTGGGGTAAGGGCGCAGTGGTGGGAGAAAGTGATACCCCTCCCCCGCCTCCGCCCCGCCACGCGGGTTCAGCCCAAGGTCGCCGACGCCCCCTCAGTCTCAGTCCAAATCTGAGTCAGACAACATGGCGGACACCAGTGTGTTTAGTGTCGAGGAGCGTTTGGTTGCTTCTGTGTGGGTGCATGAGCGTCCTCACAACAGAAAAACAATGGAGGAAATCATGAATGACTTTGCAGTGCGGTTTGGGAAACCTTCACCGTCCCGGCAAACATTAATAGCGTTGGAAAAGAAAGTGTTTGCAACGGGATCCGTTCTCGACGCACCAAGAAGTGGAGCGCTGCTGTGGAAGCTTCCGTTGCACGTTTGAGAATGAAATCCACCAGAAAACGGTCTTCAGAGCTGGGAATTCCACGAAAGGATTTGGATATGAAGTGCTTTCGGCCCCTGTCAAGTCAACGAGTTAACAGACAACGACATGGACCTTCGTGTGCAAGCGTGCCAGGTTATGCTTCGACGCTTTCCGAGGCACAGAGACAGGAAAAACGTCATGTTTAGTGACGAATGTGCGATTTACCGCAGTTCTCGCAACCGGAATGTTTATTTCTGGTCGAAAGAAAATCCTCACTTTTATGATGAAGTTGAAAATAACTCGCCTCATGTGATGCTTTGGGCTGGGATAACTTCCGACCACCTGCTTGGCCCCTATTTTTTCGAGGGTACTGTTAACCAAGACAGCTATCTTCGAATGATAGAATGGTTGGTTCCTCAACTAAGAGCTCGGGGAATATTGGACACAGTTATTTTGAAGCAGGATCGTGCTCCGTCACACTTAGAGCTGAGTGTTCGCCGCCGCCTGAATGAACTCCTGCCAGACCGATGGATTGGACGAGGGTCTGCGAACTGTTCTTCCCCAATGCCCTGGCCTCCAAGGAGAACCGACCTGACGACAGCTGACAACGCACTGTGGGGTTTTATCAAGGAAGAGGTGAGGAAACAGCGGCATGTCACAAATGACAAGCTAAGAGAAAGAGTAAGGGCGGCGTTTGGATGAGTCACACCTGAGATGCTGTGACGAATAAGCAAAAGAACATGGCGTCGAATCAAGCTGTGCCGAGAGGTATTCACACCGACGTTTTGGACTAATTTTCTTGTTCACTATTAAGTAATTGTCAATAAATTTGTTTAAAGAAAATTCGAATGGTTTTACTTAATACCTATAAAACTTATATTCAGTGTAAAGGGACTTTTCGGCTACCCTGTAGACTAAAACCATATCGTCCCAAAAGCCGCTGGGTGACTTTCTACCGCCAGTTTTAACGTCTAGAACTGAGTGCAAAACCTCCCATTTCCCCATTTATTTGTCATGAATAGTAGACATTTTTAAAACTAACTATGGCGATTGCTAAATAAACTTATAGCCCACAATATCTCGAGAGACAGTGTATCTAAAGTTACTACAATCAATATAACAGAGCAAATATTTTCAATTGTTCCAGCTTTTCAACAACTTAAATATCTCAAAACATATCGTAGGCTACGGCCATATCCTCCTAAAAGCTGTTTACACTGACTTTCTAAAACCATTAATGTCTATATCTGTGTCCAACTGTCCAAAAACCTCCCATTTCACCTGTTATTTGTCTTTGTCATGAGCAAGAATGTTTAGACATTTTAAAAATCAAATGATGACGAACATGCATTCATGAATTTCAAAACATAGGCCTACTGTAGACTACGAAGCCATCTATCTATCTAGGCCTATATATATATATCTATATATAATACGCTAAAACGATTTTTGTAAACAGATCTCCTCCCTAATTTTGGACCGATTTTGATGATTAAAGTGTAAAAAAAACGGGCCTGATCTGTAGTTTTGCAAAGTGTTTTTCATTTTAGCGAATTTCCCCTATAGGGAATAAGCTATTACCGTAGTACTCATGGTAAGACCTGGACCCGGGACTGATTTTCTTTTTCGTTTTGAGGTCCCTAGAGAACAAAAACACCATCCGTTCAAATTCATATATACCGGTATTTATATTTATATATGTGTCCGTTAGAGCGATCTTGAGCAAAAATCATCCGATTTTGATGAAATTTGGTACAATCGTGTAAACCTACGTTTATTCGAACGAGTTCGCGAACCAGCATGATCGGACTATGGGAACAGGGGTTTACGGGGGGTTTTATGGGGTAAAAATTGGGTTTTCCCATTTTTTACCCTAAAAACTTAAAATTTAGTGTGTTTAAGTTAAGTGGGTAGCAGACAATTTGACAACTAACTATAGAACATCAGGAAATCAGCTGTTTCCCAGTCCTCGTTTGCGGGCTCGGCGCTCGCCTTTTCCCTAGCATGACTGCTAGCTGACTGCTGTAAAAATTGGATGTACAACTTTCCATAGCGTAATATTGTTTTATTCGTTGTGCTATTGTCCACAAAGTTTATCTATGTGGAACTTAGTACTACTTTCATGATGGTTGGCCTCTGGATCGTTAAAATTAGCACTAATAAGGTTTATATTACCTGGCTTCTGTCTCCGATCCTCGGTAGTTTTATGAAACTACAGCCGTTTCATGCCTATTACTGGCACATCTTCAGGTTTGTTGAACGCCAGCTTCTTTATAAAACATCCCTCGGTGTTGAGTTTGTCATGGTTTTACAAAAAAGACATTTACACACACGAAAACACGCACTGTTCAAAATTAATAGATTAATTTTTTTTTTTTTTTTTTTTACTCTACTAAACAATCATTTTATTACAATAGAAATTTTACAAAAAAGAGTAGAGGACTGTAAAATTAGAAATTAACAATTAATTTTTAAACAACAAAATTTGGAATCCCAGCTCCATCTTCAAATTCTCTTGCTGACCGCCATTTCTTTCTTGTTCTCCTCAAACACATACTGGTTGACCTTAAAACAGCACAAATTGTTCTTGATCTTATCCAACTTATTACTAAACTGTATGGTTTTTTCCACTTCTCTGATAGTTTTTCAGCCATAACCCTTAAAAACATTTGGAACTCATTCCCAAAAATTCCATCAACACTTGTAACAAGAGGAGTGAATGATGAAGCTTTAGTATATTTTCTTTTTTTTCATCTTCAGCTTTTTTAATTACTTGTTGATGAGGGATGGAGACATAAGATGGAGCATCAGTGTCAACGACACGAACATCAAACAATGCCTCCATCTGAGTCTCCCATACGCCTCTACAAGCTAGATCAGCTTTTAGTGCAGGTTCGTTGAGATGACTGCCTTCTGCTATCAAGGGCTCTTTAATGCAGTTTCCCCAGGCTTGTTCCATCATGCTACCTATTGTGTCTCTTACTTCATTGTGTCTTTTTATTATCAGACCACAATTTCGACATTTTAGAGCATGCTCTGTATTGACCTTATTTCCGCATCCTTCACATTTTAATGGGAGGTTTATTGGTGTTTTCCCATAACGTAGAGCAAGGGCATCTCTAAATTCTTGTGGGGACATGTCCAGATTAAGTTTCTTCAGAGGCAAGCATGATAGCCAGCATCCATGTTTTGTTCTAGGTCCTGCATTGCGCATTATAATTTTCTGCCGTTTTTCTGAGAAAGTTTCCAAATGCTGACTGAATAATTCTTCTTCCATGGATTTCTTTACTTATTTACATGACTTAATCAATAAATTTAGGGCATATTCATGTGAATCAAAACAAAATTTAGTTTTCTCTTTTAAACAAGATGTAAGAATTTTGCCTCCATCTTCAGATGATTTAAACATATAATTTGACTGCTTTGTTGGGTCTATTATTCCTATTCCTCCCTTTTTTACTGGTAAATGTAGAATCTCACATTCCTCATTGCTTACTTCTGGTCAGGTCGTTGCCTGCGTAATAGCTTATTCCCCAACTTATATGGGAAATTCGCTGAAAGGTGTTAAATATAGAACTCACAAACTGAAAACTTTTATTTTTAGTTACTAAGCTTCCTTTCATTCAGCCAGTGTATTCTTATTAACAACTCCATTTCATAAAACACAGTTATGAAGCCCAAGGGGGGGGGGCCTTAGCCCCTGTAGCCCCCCCCCCCCCTGGAACCGCCACTGATTCCAACGGGCGGTGTTCCTGATTTGGATTTCAGAGTGTTCCTTTTATTTCAGGAATGAAGTTGGTTCTACGAAACACATCAGGTGAAACGGTATCTCTCCTAGTTGGACCTGAAGAGACATTTCAAGATCTCCAAAAACGTGTTCAGTCTGAAGTTGGCCTGGCTCTTGATCTACATGATTTGGCCGTTAAGGGAAAAACCATTGATGAAAACCAAGGAGTTATTGATTATTTTACTAGCCCAGGTAACTTAGTATGTTTGAACTGATTTTAATTGTGACAACATCTACTTATTCACTGTGAATATAATTATGGCCACATTGTAGGTTTAAAAAAAGTGTAGATGCTCTAACCACCTGGGGTTTTCCTCAATTTCTTCAGAGATTTGTCTAGGTTTGGGCATGGATAAAACATAGTCCCTTAGTAGATTTCCCATCCTTATGGAACAGCTGAAGCCAATATTATTGTTATTTCTGTCCGGTTTTCTGTAGATGTCGTGTTTTGTTTACAATTTGTTTCTTGTTATTTCAGTAATTTAAAACCTCGTTTAACCAAATAAAATTATCTAATCATAAACAATTACTGGTCCACTAGCTATATGACCAAATAATGAAACACAAATAATGAGAAAATAACCCTAAAATAATAGAAACAAATTAATATTAAATTAATAGTAAAGAAAACACAACATCTACAGAAAACCGGACAGAACTAACAATAAAATTGGCTTCAGCTGTTCCACAAGAATGGGAAATCTACTAAGGGACTATGTTTTATCTATGGTTTTGGTTTCAGTATAGTTTACTTCTTTTGGTATTTTTTTATAACTAGCACCATAATGATTTGAAGGTTAAAGATGCAACTTGCAGCTGAATATTACTAAGCACTATCTGTTACCCGGCGGCTCTGCCCGACATACTTTTGAGTTTTATTATGAACCGGCTGATGAATTTGTGACTTAACTACGGGCTAACATGACCTTTTACATTATTTTTTCGCATAGTAGGCAAACTAACAGTTATTAAGGATTAAATCCATTCTTATAGCCTAATCACCTAAGCTATTTAGACATATTTAGGGGCTACTGAAGTCAAACTAAGGGAGAACCAAATTCTTCGTTTGAAAAATTAACTACCTTTCAACCAAAGAGCTTTGAACTTCTCTCTTTGGAACAAAATCATAATGTTATTTTACCAAAATACTATTCCCGTTCTGTCTCATTTCACTAATTATACCCTTAAACAAAAATTTGCCAACAGTACAGTTTAGTTTTCTCATAACTTTATTGGACATTGTTCGATAGGCCATCTTAAAATTAGGATTTAGTAACTTAAAAACCTTAATTTTGTTACGTAATGTTCTCTGATATATTCAAAAACATTCCGTCTAGATGTTACAAAGATAAATAGAGAGAAAAGTTTCTTTTGACAGGAGCAAACATTTAAACATGACATCTGATTAGCTGTGTTGTAATACACTGGTTTTAATAGTAGGATAAAAGAAATATAAGACACTGTTAGAGAACCATTTTAATAGACTGGTAGTTAGTTTACACAACAACTTAAACAAACATTACAATAATCATAATTACATATACAGCTGTTACAGGGCTGAGTAAATAATTTTTTATCACAACAAGCTGTCATGATTTTATCTCTATCTTCTTGATCAAAATTTGTTGGGAATCGGGCGAGTAGCAGGTTTGCTTTAATTTCACACCGTATTAATTTTTTTAATATCTCACGAATAGAATAGCCTCGGAAGTAGGACTGGATTAAATGGAAATGACCAGATTCTCCCTAAAATGAAACAATTTGGTATAACGGATTATTTAAATGTTGCCACTTGGAATGTGAGAGGGTTGGCAAATAAAGAACAAGAGTTATGTTTAGTATTAAAGGAAAAAGGAATAGATATCACCATCATATCAGAAACAAAGAAGAAATTACGAGGGACCAAAGATGTAATGGATTACTGGCTAGGCTACAGTGGAGTGCCACAGAGCAAAAGAGCAAGTGCAGGAAAAGCCATTTTACTGAATGAAAAGTGGAGAAAGAAGATTTCTGAATATTCTTTTATTAATGAGAGAATAATGACTGTCATGTTTAAAATTATGAGAGGTCATCAAACAGTGATAGGAGTATATGCTCCTAAAGAAGGAAGAGGAGAAGATACAAGTAGTTTTTATGATGACTTACAAAGCAAGCCTGGTAAATCAAATAAACAAAACTGATCACATTATGATATCAGGAGACCTGAATGCCAGGGTTGGTAATGTGCCAATACCGAGAATAGTTGGAGCATTTGGAGAGAGCACCCTTAACAATAATGGACAGGAGCTTAGGCAGTTTGCTAATTTCAATGACTTTAAAATCACAAACACTTTTTTTTTTAGGAAAAAAAATATTTACAAGTTTACTTGGAGTTCAGGGGTTCTAGATCTTTGATAGACTATATTATAGTTAACGGGAAGTTGAAAAATCTGATAAAAGATGTCAGAGTGTATAGAGGGTGTGATATAAGTAGTGATCACTTCATGGTGTGTGGTAAGATAGCTTTGCTAGGAAAGTGTAAGAAGAACGGTAAAACGAGAGTAAATAACAACATTAAAGGGTTTAAAGTTCATCTTTTGGAAGATCCAAGTATCAAGGAATCTGTGGAGATTGACAGAAAGGCTACTATCGAGGCCCGTAAGTTGCGATATTGAAGTGAAATGGGCAGCCATGAAGTAGTGTATAGGCGTCGTGAGGGTCTGGAATTCTTAAATCAAGGAAGCTTTACAAGAAAAACAGAGAGCCTACCTACATCATCTGCAAGCTAAATCTGATGAATCCTTAGAAAACTACAGAATAAAGAATTTAGCAAAAGCAGTACGACAAGCAAATCAAGCTTCTTGGGATAAGTTTATAAGCATTCTGGAAAATGATGTACATGGAAGACAGCAGTGTGCATATAAAGTTTGGAAATTTCTAAATAAAGATGAAAAAGACAAGGACTCTCTTAATGTAATTCCCAGAAAAGATTGGATTTAACACTACAAGGATCTTTAGTGTGCACAAGATTTGTAAGTAGTCTCTTGTGAAAATCGTAGATACAATTCAGCGGTTGATTTACTTACCATTGAAGAGTTGCAGGAAGCACTTAAGAGCACTAAAAATCGGAAAGCTACTGGGTTGGATGCAATCAATTGGGGAACTCATGAAGTACGGAGGTGCAGCATTAGAACGGAGATTTTTACATCTATTAAATGTGTGCTGGAAGAATTGTATAATACCAGACTCATAGAAAGTTTCAGAAGTAATATTGCTATTTAACACGTAGAATGAGGCCGTTCCCGATCGGGTACGGTGCTTGGCCCCCGTACGGTGCGTCCGTACCCCATCGGGAACGCTCGGCAATGCCTTTTGTATATCTTCGTTTTTGCTCTAGCGTCGGTCGAAAGCGTACCTATACCACGTTAGCGTGTAGTATGTGACTTGCATTTTGTTGTGGTGTAGGTTGGTAGTAAATTTCCCTGTAAAATCCCCGTCTGGCAATCTCAAAAATCTACTTTTTGTCCCGTCTTTTCCCCTCCATTTGGCAATACAATTCCAATAGGACCGGCTACGTTCAAAGCAGTGCTGCTATCTGTGGGTATTTAGCGAACTACGTTGACTCTCGTTGTAAAGCAGGACATCCCCGCACGTTATTTGCTTTTCGTCAGACCAAAATTGGAAAGCCAATCACACGCGGCAATCGGGTTTGTTCGACGCTGAGGGCTGCGCCGCACTGGGGATACGCCCCCCATTTGACGTGCTGCAGCGAACGTGTTAAAAAAGGAAAGCACAGCAACTGCAACAATTATAGAGCAATCAGTCTGTTGAATGTTGGTTACAAAATATACTCCAAGATAATCAATAATAGGATGAAAGTTATAACAGAGGCCATTTTATTAGAAGAGAAAATTGGGTTTTGCCCTGGCCGTTACTGTACAGATAATGTCTTTACTATCCAGAGGTGCCCATCCCCCCCAAACCCAGAGGCGCAACCCCCCCCCCCCCAAGCCAAAGGAGTAGTTCTCCCCCCCCAATTTATGCTGCCGTCTATTTAAACCTACCCTCCCCCCACCAATTTATCTGACAATTTTCCCTTTACCTCATAAAACGATCATTCCAATTTAGTATTTAGTAAACTTGAGGTAAAGAAAAACAAACTTGCTGATAACAAAATTTAAATGTTTAATAGGAAACGAACAACATTTAACAATACTTCATTAGGTATATCTAACTAATGGACGAATTAGAAGTGTTTCAATTTACATTTCAGAATCTCTATTGTCAGCTAACATGTGTTCAGTATTGCAATAGACAACGTCTTCAAAACGTACAACAATATACTAGGTGAATTACTCTACTCCAACACAGTATTGTAACTGTACAATATATTAGGTGGCGTTAAATTTTACAGAGAAAGAATCTCAGAGAAGAATTTTAAGAAATCAAACCGCTTTAAAAATGCATTAATAATACTTTGGCAAAGTTTTTTTTTCAAAATTATAGACAGTCACGAAATAAGACAGACTTGTTGCTCGCCACTCCCTGGCTCTACAAACACCGCCACTCCAAACAACACACTCCAAAAACTCGATTTTACTCTACAAAAAATCGCCAGGCAAAATACCCACAAAAGGTTTTTGTGACGAAGTAATCTTATAATTAATTTTGATAGCCCCAGGATTGCCTTTTATGACTAATAATGGTAGAAACGCATCTTGTCAGACAATCTGTTTATACACAAAACACGAAACGATAACAGATAGGCCTATCAATTCACGTCAGTATATTGCCGCGGGCAGGACTGGAAGTAAACTGAATCAGGTTATGACGGAAAGACGTGGTCTCTGGATTGTCGTCTGTGTTATCAAAAGCTGATATTGGACTAGTTGTAGTGACGGAGGAGAGTGTTGAAAATATAATGGGATTCATAATTGAGTTTTCCATTTAAAATTATTGAAAATAATAACCAATTTATCTGCTGGATATAAATTATGGTCTCGAAATTCTACAGTAGTGCACTAAAGGAAATTTATTAAATACTTTGAGGAGTTTGAAATATATAAATACATAAAACTAGGGACAGCGCAAAAGTTTTGAGTGAAAGTGAAAACACTCAATTAATTATGAATCCCATTATACTTTTAACACTCTTCTCAGTCACTACAATAGTCCTATATCAGCTGGTGACAATGCAGACGACAATCCAGAGACCACGTCTGTCCGTCATAACCTGAACCTGATTCAGTTTACTTCCAGTTCTGACGACGGCAATATATACGCGTGAATTGATAGGCCTATCTGTAATCGATTCGTGTTTTGTGTGGTGGAGGTAAAGAACCACCAAAACATATGTAGCAAATAAAATTCGACACTGACACTGGTATATTAAGGATTGTCTGACAAGGTGCGTTTTTACCATTCTTAGAAGCAAATCTTAATTACGAATGGCAAAATGTTGTTGGTGTTGATAGTGAGCTACTTAGAAACACTTTTTCGGGCTGCTTATACAAAATTTTTCATTCATTATGACAGCTAGCAAAAAACATCCCCCCCAAAATCCCCTCAAAAAAGTCCCCCCCAAAAATTCCTGTGGCGCAGACGCGCCACAGTACCCCCCCTCTGGGCACCCCTGTTACTATCAATAGAATCATTGAGAAAAGGACAGAGTTTAATTTAGAGACACATATAGGTTTTGTAGATTTTGAAAAAGCCTTCGATAGAGTTGACCGGTCCAAGCTTTGGAGCATTTTAGCTACTATATCCGTTACATCTAATAGAGATAATCAAAAGCCTTTATCAAAGTAAGCGAATAGTAATAAATACAGGTATGATTAGGCTAAAAGAGTTTTAGATCAATCAAGGTGTAAGACAAGGGGTGTGGATTATCACCTACACAATTTAATATTTATCTTAACTATATTCTCCGTAAATGGAGATACCATGTAGGTCCAGGGATAAGGATCAGCAATGACGACTCTCTGAACACATTACTATTCACAGATGATATGGTAATCATACAAGAAAAAGAAGATAGCTTGCAGCAAGCAATCCATGTTGCTGTTACAATGTTTGTAAGGCTTACAATCTCTGAATTTCGACAAATAAAACCAAGGTGATGGCATTTAGAGGAAAATATCCTGTTAGGTAAAAAATTGTTGTTGATAACTTTATCCTGGATCAGGTCTCTCGGTTTACGTATCTTATAGTCTAGATTTTGACGTAGAGAACATAGTCCAAAAGTTTCAGTTTATTTGTGGTACTATCAATAGATCTCTAAACAACAAGGTACAAAAAGAAACTCTTCTGAAGTTTTACAGACATGGCAGCTCCGACTATATTGTATGGTAGTGAGTCTTGGGTACCGGTACCACAAAAAAACAGGAGAGTAAAATTCAGGCAGCGGAAATGAGATTCTTAAGAAGAGTAAATGGATCAACAAGAAGAGACATGATAAGAAGTGAAGAGATAAGAAAACTGAATTTATACAGTTTAAAGAATCAGAAATTTGCAATGTTTTTATTATGAAGTTTTGGGTTTTATTCGGTCTAGTTGCTGTACCCGAGCTTTGCTTGGGAGAACAAGTTGTTAAACTTTGCAACTTTTTAATGCTATTGAACATCATAGGACCCAACTTATTGGTTTATTATTTGATACAGCTGTCAAAAAGCAAAGATCCTTTTAGCGGGAGTTCATGACGTTGTCTACACGGCCGTGGAGATATTCATGATTTTGCCGAGAGCGCGGGAGACGATGATGACGTCTACACGATGACGTTACGTGACTGCGGGAGTCAATAATGATATTTACATGGTCGCAGAAGATGATTTTGCTGCGATTGCAATTGCGGGCGACGACGATGACATTACTGCGATACTAGGAGACGATGATGATGTCTACATGGCCACGGGAGATGTTCATGATTTTGCTGGGTTGGCGGGAGACGCAATTGTGGAAGGTGATGATAATGTCCACACGGCCGCAGGAGATTTTCATGATCATTCCGCCATCGTGTAAAACAATGATGATGTCTACACGGCCGCGGAAGATGTTCATGATCTTGCCGGGACAGTGAAAAACAGTAATTGAGAAAGGTATTTACAGAAGTGTTCTCAGAATACGACGATTATCACGTTATTACTTTGAGTTTGGCCGGGCTGATAATATCAGGCTGGCACACCTCTATATAGTACCTTAAATATGGTAGTTATTTGATGTGATAAGAAGGGTTTACACTTGGAAATTTTGGAAATTGTAGAAATTGTTACTTGAAAACGAACCTAATAGCCTACCCCAAAATACTTTATAGAAAAACATAAAGATAATCTTACATTTTGAGGATGACAGATTATTTATGTTTTATAATAAGAGTCTACATGTTCAAATATAATTTAAGATTAGCAGCAGCCTATAAAATGTTTGTTTTATTGCAATATAGTTTGGATTAAATAGTTGGTTTAACATTTAGCATATTTATTATAGGCCTAATCCAGTACATTTTACAAATGGATTGGTAATTGATTTAAAAAACTATTTTTACATGCATCGGACCTGAAAGAAGATGTATGGATAGTTTACTCGTTTGTACTAAATTTTATCAAAGTCGTATGATTTTTGCTCAATTTATCGTGCTAATTGACAACATAAATACGAGGTAGGTTCGGAAAGTAAGTTCCTTTTTGAAATAAAAGAATAACTAGTACAGATATAGGAAAGAAATTTATTTAAAAAAATCTACAACTTTTTTGACATAGCTCCTGTGGTTTTCGAGGCATTTGTCATAGAGTGGTACAAGTTTGAGTAAGCCCTCTTCATAGAATGTTGCCAACTTTGTAGTTAACTATGAGGTAACACATTCTTTCAGCTCTTCATCGCAGTTTAACCGCTGACCGCCAAGAAAAGACTTCAGATTGCAAAACAAATTAAAATTGCTCGAAGCAAGGTCAGGGCTGTACAGAGGATGGTCAAAAACGTCCGAGCCAAAGCCCTTAAGAAGTGTCTTCGTCACTTTTGCGGTGTGTGGTCAAGCATTGTCTTGAATGAAAACCACACTCCTCGGCGCTTATTCTGTATTGCGGGGCACAGTTTTGTATTATCCCAAAGTAATTAACTAAGACTATTGACACACAAACCCACTAATGAATGATTAATTGGAAACGTCTAGGAGGCAGCTAGAACTCCGAATTTTATTATATAAAAAATTACAATTATTCTAATAGCACGTACTGAATTACCAATCAAATATCTGAACCAAATGAATTTCCCTCGTTAAACCACAAATCACACAACTCCCTCTTTAACCCTTAATCCCCTTTTAAATAGAACTTCCCTTTACAAAACTCTCCTTGCTAAAGAGCCTAAGGCCCAGCGCACACGGTGTGACTGTTTTACAACTGTCTTTTGTGACCTTGGCAATGTATTGCAGTGGGGAGGCGCACACGATGCAACTGGTTGTATGCGATTTCAAAAAAGTTTGAAACCAGTCACATGTTGTACGAGACCACAGGGTGTTTTTGTGGTGTTTGGTGGTATTTTGACGGCCGTGTAGTGTTTTTAATGTTTATAATCTCTTATCCGACTAGCTCTAGCTGCTACAAACAGCCTAGTACTAACATTCTTGCTCAAATAAGGGTGAACCCAATGCTCTCTCAGTGCCCTTCGCTGTCTTCGGTATTGATAATAGCTAATAGTCTTCTTCGTCTGAGTCTGACGTAGTAAGCACACTAAGGCCTTAAAATAACGTAACTGCACTAAATTGACACTCCACTGATTGCACAATAGACGCAACTGTAGTTGTAAAACAGTCACACCTTGTGCGGACAGAAGCTTTGTTTCAGCTGCAAACTGGTTTCAGACGCAACTGGTTTGTAACAGTTGTTGTAAAACAGACACACCGTGTGCGCTGGGCCTAACCCTAAGATAGAGCAACCAGTACTCACCCAAAACTTCTGGGCACCCTACCCTGGCCGACTGACCCCTTTCCCTACCTCAGGTGGCCTATTTAACAAGAAACTAAAAACTACTTTTTGGTCAGCATGACAATTTTGCCTGGAATTTTGGGGGCAGCTCAAAATGTTTAACATAAAGCCTGATGGGCACACTTCATTTTGTAGGCCATTAGTTTAAAAGAGTATTAGCGAAAACTAGGGGTCCCTATCTCAACCCAATACAACAAAATGCCGGTATTTTTTATTTTCATTAACCTCAGCTTGATGGGTCCTTAACCTCAAGAGATGGCTCAAGAGACCTTAACCTCAGTCACTTGAGGGGCTTTATATTTGAAAAATTTGAGCTGCCCCCAAAATATCCCATTAAGGGGTCCCGGGCAAAATTGTCACTGCGACCAAAAAGTAGTTTTTATTTTCTTGTCACGGTAATACTGAGTTTAGTTTTCCTGGTACAGCACATAAAAACATTAACAGGGGATATTATACTGTATATTTTACATGGGGTCTCTCAGGCTGATGAGAAATAAAAACGGCCTCTTGAAACTTTTCTATAATGGGTTGTAAGAACATTTCTGTAAAATTCTGTAATGGGTTGAAATAAAGACCTAGTTTTTGCCGATTTTCTTTCAAAATTATGGCCTTCAAAACAAGGTGTCACTTGATTGGACATCACATTTAAAATTTTTGGGTTGCTCCCAAAAAAACCATTTTAGGTTATTGGACGAAATTGGGATACTAACAAAAAAGTGCACTTTTGTGCCATATAGAGGTGTGCAGGGATTAGTTTTCTTGGTGTTACCCATTCAAAAGTTAATAGGGGGTGTACACACTTTTACCCAACCTTGTATGAATTTTAACGGATAAAGTTTTTGGCCTCTGGGACATCAAAACAAATAGTAAATTGGTCCCTGGTCTAGATCTTACCATGAGACCTACAGTAATTGCTTATTCCCTACATGACAAACGCACTGTTACATAGAGTTAGAGTCATTACATAGCACAAAATATATATAGCTGCACAGAGACAGTGCACTTGAAGTAGTCAGTAGGAACGATAAAAAATAAACAGTATTACCACTACCAGAGAGAAGCTGTTAAGAGCTACAGTATAAAATAAACACTGGATTAGTAACAATTATGAATAATATTACTGGATCTTATTTCAAACGATAATAACAGTCCTGTTGTTGCAGATGTAACAGAACTGTCAAAGCCAGCTGAAGCACCACCAGATATACAACAAGATGTCAAGTGTTCTGTTCCCTCTTGTGAAAACACCAAGTTCTCTTGCCCAGAGAAAGCTTTCTTCACATTACCTCTGGAGGAAATGAGGTAATTCTAATTGTAACTGTGTATTAATTATCAATGTTTGATTGGAGATGGGTTCAGTTTTGTGCTTCAGTATAATCAGTACTTAGTAGTATGTAATGGTTATGGAAAGCTAAATCTTATGAAAAGCTTGGTTCATATGGTTTACTCTACACTGAAACTTCAATTCAATTCAGTATTCAATCTAACCATTGTATTTAAAAATCCTATAGCTACATTGTTTCTAAACCATCAAATTGTACACACTGCCAATGGCATTTTTTATTGACCTTAGGAAGACTTTTGACTGTGTTGACAAGGATGGCGTCATGCTGCTTAAAGTGCAGTATTACGCGGTCCATGGTGATGCCTTCAGTCTTGGAGACCTACCTTGTGGACAGAAGACAGGTGGTTTGAATAGGAGAGGATTCTTCTATTGCTACTAGCAACTGTGGCTTTTCCCAAGGGTCTGTTCTTGGACCTCTACTGTTTATTATTGCTGTATATGATAAATAATCCTTGTTATGATAAATAACCTTGTAACTTAAATGGGAATATCTTTCAATATGCCGAAGACACCACCATGCTTAATAGTTGGTCATCCTGCATCGGTAGAGACATCTTTGACCTCCTAAATTCTGTTGTTCATGGAATCGGTAGGGCCATAGCATGGTTTTCTGCCAACAGCTTTGTTCAAATAAGGACAAAACACTGAACCTAATTTTCAGTTTATAGGGAATTTCCAGACACTATGGTGTCAACTGTTCTGTAAAATTTCTTGGGGTGACATTAAATCAAAATTTGTCTTGAGAGTTTCACATAAACCAACTTTGTACTAGGTTAAAAGTTCCGTTTTAGAAAATTAAGTTATATTATACCATTGACTATTAGGTTATACCTACAGGGTATTTACTCAAGGGAGGTATAGAAGAGTCTTCAATGACGTCAGCTGTCAGATCTCTTCTCTTGAGGGAACACCATTACCGCAATGACGGTGATGAGCCAACGGCCTCGGTGGTGTAGTGGATAGCGTATCGGGCTGATAATCTGAAGGTGCCGGGTTCGAATCCCGCTGGTAGCACTAACTTTTTGTCAAAAATTTTTTTCATTATCAGTAAGTTTGGTTGGTTTGGTTAGGCTATGACATTTTAATTTTATAATTAAAAATTATAAAAATTGAGTTTGAGGCATTTATAATCCTGTTTTTATTTCATGTAAACACCAACACACAATTTGGGTATTGCAATATTTGTTTGGGTATTTGGGCAATTTGGGATTTGGGTAATTCCAAATTTGCAATATGGAAATAACTAACTATAAAAGTGACAATAGACGATACCAACAAAAAGCAATATTGTGCAATCATAATTTTTTTTAGGGAGAGGAGGAAAAATGCTTTTACTCACACAGGTAGCCAGCCTGTAGTGTGAGACTCCTGAATTTATCAGACTACTCACTAAAAAAACCCTCTACTCTGTTGGACACAGACCTGGAATTGTTTATCACATTACTTCAAGTCAGGGCAACATGTGACCTAAGCCCTCAGGGCTCTCACCATTTCTGGCATTTATATACTTTATGACCTACACCGCATCCCGGTCAAGGTCGAGCTTCTTGGCACGGAGCATACCCTGGATGTAATGAGACACACAGGTCCAGTTGTCCTCACCCTCCGTCATCATCAGTATGTCCACCGAAAGCAGTCCTACTAACTGTTGAGCCTCCAGGCGGGGCCTTTCCCAAGCTGGCAGTGAAAAAAAAGCATGTTCCTTTGTCATCGGGAATGCCTGGGCAGTATATGCATTCAGGTGACACGGCTTTGCCCATCCTGAACAGGTACGACCAGAAAAAGCCTTGACCCATCAGAAATTGGGTGAGGTAGAAGTTCACCTCTCCGCACCGCCGATCAACCCAAGGTTGGACTTGCTGTATCAGTCGCCTGGTCCCAGCTCTCCTGCCACAGCTAGTAGGTGCGGGTGCGTTCCTCTGTTCGTGCCTGTTCCTCCCCACGGCGCAGATAAACTGCCTTTCTCTCTGCTGCCAAAAGTTTGACAGGGATGACTCCAGCAACCACCAGGACGGCGGGTTCAGACACTGTTCGGTAGAAAGATTTATTTATTTATTTAAATGTTACAATACAGACTTACGTCCAATTACATTGCAGCATAGTTTAAATTCTCATAATACAGTACATACTTTGTGTGAAGACGTGTCAAAATGTCAAAACATAACAGATGCTACCCTTAGTGCTGCCTGACACTGCACTCCAATGAGCGGCATCCTATATACCTCCTTATTGAGAGCGTCTGCCCACACCTCCGGACCGTACAAAGTACAGACTGCTTCAGTTACATTAACAGCCTTCTACGACTGGACCGAGGCCCTCCGACATTGGGTGCAATCATAATAGAATATTGCGTAATCATAATGCTTTATAAATCATTAACTTGGTTTTAAAAACCAGAGGATACTTAATCTCAGTAAAAACTCAGTACAAATCGAGAACAACTCGTAGCTCACTTAGGAGAAACATATATTGCTTGCAGTTTTTGATGGTGGAAAAGTATAGACATGGATATTGAAGAATCAGCGATACAAAATACATTAAAAGCATTATATATATATAAATAATTTTAAACAGAGTAGCCTACCATGTTATTTATTATTTTAGTAAAAATCCAATCAGATTAATAAAAATTTGCTTAGTCTGCAGGTTTGCTGTTGCGGGGTTATTTTGTTTCTATGTGTCCAAATTGTTATTATTATGTTTACTTGTTGAATTGTTTTTGTTAATTACAGATGTGATTGAATAAAACCTACTTTATATTTTCTCTTAGAAAATGTAAACTTTAATTAGTAAAATTAGTTAAATCAACAGTTATATATATTGTATTGCAGATGTCACCAGTGGGCTTTGTACTGTCACCGTCTCAGTGATGAATCAGGCAAGCACCGCATCACTCTCACTGCTCAGTCAGTCATCTGTGCGGATCATTTCCGAAAGGACCAATTTGTCAAGAACACTACCACATTACTAAAACGGACAGCTGTGCCATGTATCAACCCTGAGATACCTATTGGTTCTAGTGGTAAACACAAATCTAATTTCTCTTATGTTTAGTTTCATAAAAATTAAAAATCTATGTATTTAATTAGGTAATGCAATTTGTGTCAAAATTGTGGGCGACTGGGATGTTGTAGAATTTCGGGAGAGGGCTCAAATTAAAGGTCTCTATCTCATGACGGTGGAAAATAGTGAAATTCCCAAAATGTTTACACAAAATTAGATATAACGTAAAATATTCTCCATAAGAATAGCATTAGAAGCCATTTACAGCTAATTTTTGTTTATCATACTTCAATACAGCTGATACAACTGAAGTCCAAACCGCTCGTGCCACCAAGTACCTTAGGTTCATGGTGGACAGCAAGCTCAGGTGGCGGGAACAGATCTTGTAGGTGGTTTCTTCCCTTAGCCGGTTAATGGCTAAGGTCCGTGGTCCAGTCACAGAAGGCTGATGATGTCTGCGGACTTTAGAGATATTTACAATAGCACGAATTTTATACACTCGACCGGTTACTTATAAGATTGCTGATCAAAATGGGGAAGAAATTATAGGCGGATTCTATGAAAAGGAACTGCAAAAGTCTGCTCTCTGAATTTCCGAGGGTGTCCCGTTTAAGGACTAGTCCTCATACCTCGTAACTCGTACCTCGTACTAGCCTAGAAGGAACCTTTAGGGGTGCCCCATTTAAGGACGATGTCTTAAGTCCACTTATTTTAGTCTTAGTCCAGACATTTAGTCCAAGGACTGTGTCCCACTTCAGTACTGTACCCATTTCAGGACTTTACCCATTTCAGGACGGTGTACCCCATTCCAGAACTGTACCCCGTTCCGGGACTGTACCCCATTCCAGGGCTCTCACCCTCACCCTGGCCTAGAACCAACAAAAACATAACTACTCAGCTGACAAAATTCTTAAATTCCTTTTTAAATATGAATACTCATAAGGTTAAAATGGAAAACTCCAGAGCCACTGGGGCGGAGCCCGAGGGCAGTTTAGCTGTGCTGTATGGGCTGTGTCTAAGGAATATGTCGGCCTTAGTCACTAACAAGACTACAAGATTGCGCCACTCATCCTACACTCATCTCCATTAATCCTACACTCATCTCCATTAATACTTGGCTTAAAATACCTACTTTGTATGGTCGCAATTTCATTGAAAAGTATAAAGTAAAGGACGTGAATAGGCCTATGTGTTAAGTGGGTGCATAATCTACCTTTGTGTAAAATGTTAACCCTGTCGGTTTAGTATTTTTCGCGTTTACTTGTCACAAACATCCATCCATACATCCAAACTTTCTTACTTATAATATTTGTAGAATAAATTTTAATGTGTACTTAGGTTTGCTGCTACAGGGAAGGTATTGAGGTGTGTTTTTTATTGAAATGTTGATAGCTTAGTATGAAATAAAGAAAATTACAAAATTTGGTTAAAATATATCCATAAACAAGCGAACTACAACAGTTTATTTATTCTCCATAAGAATAATTTGTGAATTTTCTATTTTTAATTTGTTGAATTATCTTTGTAACTGTTAGGCATAACAAAGCTTCAATATACAAATTATTTCTTTTTTTAAGCTCTACAAAATGGTTTGGAAAGAAGTGAAATTTTATATTTTATGTTTTCAGAGTCAAAGAAAAACCAATTTTTAACCCATAAAACCTACCATAAACCCCCACTCCCATAGTCCGATCATGCTGGTTTTCTAATTTGTCAAAATGAACGCAGGTTTACACGTTTGTACCAAATTTCATCAAAATCGGATAATTTTTCCTTAAGTTATTGCAATAACGCCTTATACATATACATGTGAATTCAAACGGAGGGTATTTTTGGCTTCCGGGGACCTCAAAATGAATAAGTAAATCAGTCCCGGAGTCTTACCATGAGACCTACGGTAATAGCTTATTCCCTATATGGGAAATTAACTAAAAAAGGAAAAAAAGTGTTCAAACAACATGATAATGCATCAATTGAATGACAAATGTAACTATAAACAATTTAATGGTTCGGTTTGCCAACCTTATTAAAAAGTTTAGGTTAGGGTTAGGTTATAGGTTATTTATTTTGTGCCATTACACTAATTTTGTTGGACATTAGTAAAGGACTATACCGTGTGTCTCAAAAGTCCCACTCCCCTGTTATTTTTTTTTATCAATAGAGATAAAATTATAATATTCAGGGAATGTGTATATGATCAAAAAGGAAATGTTTGGTATACTACTGTATGTAAATTTTCACCCCCTCCCGACCAAAAGGTGTAGTTTGGAGGTAAGTCGAAATTTTGAAATGTAAACCCCTATCGCAAACTAGAGGTCTCTATGTCAATCCTATCAAAAGTTAAGGCAGTTCAAAGTGTTTTATTTTAACCCTCCGAGCGTCACTTGTCGAAAAATCGACTCACGACACACTTTGTGTAGTGTCACTTGTCGATTTTTCGACACACAAACATCGTTTACGGCGAAGGCTCTATGACTGACTGAATCGGATTGAACTGGATCGAGTTAGGTATCGTTCTTTTTGTTAGATTCAGAGCTTTCTCCGGAGGTCTGTCTCTAAGCGCTATTCATTTTAGTTCCAAAAATATTGTAGCAGACAGCTGACGTGCGTATTTGTAAACAGCTTGGTTAACCTCGGACCGATGACTGATGTGTTTTATTACGTTTATCATTGTTTTAGTGTTAAAAATCAAAAGTAGTGATATACGTGGTGCATTATAAGAAGATTTAAGTGATTTTGAAGGGCTGGTTGATGATCCTGAAGAAGTAGGTAGTGATATTGATGTAAATTATCAGCCAGATTCCTAGCTATGGTTAGGCTATGCATTCTTAGCTAAACGCTATGTACTGAAATCTGTTTTTTGCCCATAACTTATTTATTTGCAAATCTACTTCCTTATTTTATTATATATTTGTAATCCTCATAAAATGTAGAACAAAGTGGCTATTTTCAAATATTTATAGGCCTATGATTTATACAATTTTATTGAGCGCGAACTTATTTTTTTTTTTTTAATTTTCAAAAATATTTTTTTTATCTAAAAAATGTTTTTTAAACAAATGTTCCTTATGTTTTAGGTATAATATTGAAGCCCATGATTTTCCAAACAAAATGGTATATAGAACAGTAGAATTAACATTGTTTTAAGCTTCTCAGATCCGTTTTAATAAAACCTTGCAAATGCGCCAAAAATAGGCGGACATTAAGGCCTAAACTATGGACGAGTGTTAAATATGGACACTCGGAGGGTTAAATCAAATAAAATACTTATTCATATCTAAACTTTTTTGTTAGATTAATAAAAACAAACTTATCACTTACAGTACCTGTGAGTATGAATGAAGAAATAATGATTATTTGTGTGAGAAAAGAGAAAGAATACCACAATTACATTTAGATTAACTGATCAAACTGTCGACCATTCACTTCCTGGCAGAAGTAAAGTCTGGACTCAAATGCCTGCCTCATATTCAAGTGACAGTGGGGATGCACCTGTTTCTGACACAAGATCACTCAATGTAAATAGTAATGTAAATAGTAGTTGTAGTGAAAATGTATCCCAACTTGACTCCAATCCCATCCTGTCCCCTCTCACTTTAAACTGTCAACACCCACTTATCGACCTAACAACCTAGATAAGTTGGAAAATAAGAATTTTCAGAGTATTATGCTCTTAAACATTCAAGGCGGGATTCCAAACAAGCTCAATAATCTTAATGTTATTTTACAGAACACTAATATAAATGTTATATGTCTCGTAGAACATTGGCTAAGACCTGATCAAATAGCTGTTCTTAATGCTTTAAATTCTTTTAGCTTAGCTGCTTTTTACTGTAGAAAAGAAGGTATACATGGTGGATCCTGTATTTTAGTTAGGTCTGATGTAGTAGTCAAGGAGAGAAATTATTTAAATGTATATTTTGTAGATAATGTATTTGAGGGATGTTGTATTGAGATACCAAGTTCAAAATCAGTCATCATTTCAATATACCGTGTACCAGATGCTAGTAATTTTAAATTATTTAAAAAAAAGTTAGAACAGTTTTTTGTTTTATTAAAAAAGGAAACCAAAAGCAAATTTGTTTATATAGCAGGTGATTTCAACGTTGATGTTCTGAATGATTGTAAAAACAAGCAAGATAAAAACTCTTTTTTAAATGTTATAATAAGTCATGGTTATATGTTCTACTCAGATGAACCAACCAGAATTAATCAAAAATCTCAAACGTGTATAGACAACATACTTTTTAATAGAGGAAGAGACCTTTCAAAGTATTGCAATATAGAATTAGGATTATCAGACCATAGAGCCTTGTTTATCTTAACTGATTGTGGGTTAACAACTGAGCTAAACACTAGCAATAGTTTAAAAAAACGTATATTTAATAAAAGAAACACGCTAAGGTTTTTAGAAGTGCTTAATGAATCCTCATGGAATGTCACTGTACTTAATGATGCCCAAAAAAATTTTGATAATTTCTTGCAAAAATTTAAGTTAGATTTTCAACATTGCTTCCCTTTAAAAAGCATTAAAGCAAATTGTAAAAATAATGTAAAATCAAAAAAGTGGATCACCCAAGGTATTATGGTGTCAAGTGCTAGAAAAAGAGAATTATGCAGGCTAGCTAAACATTCGAACGACCAGCATTTTATTCAATATGTTAAGAGGTATAAAAAGGTGTTCAAATCTGTTTGTAACTCAGCCAAAAAACTATCTCACAGTAATTACATTAAGAACTCTGTAGATAAAAGTAAAGCTGTATGGGCAGTTGTTAACTCAGAGCTAGGTGTCCTTAAAAAGAAATCTAGTTTCAGTAATATTGAAGACAATAATTGCATAATTGGTAATGGCACAGAAATAGCTGAACACTTAAATAATAAATTTGCCAACATTGCGAAATTTAACTCTGCTCTCTTCAATGAATTTGATGCCCACAAATTTCTTAGCGATACTAATCTCAATAATCATTACATACCTCATTTCAACTTTCAGCCTGTTTCCAGAGAGAATGTTGCAAA